ATCTACCTTTTTTCAAACTAAACTTAATAAGACGAGTATCATCAATTATTCGGTAACTCAGTATATAGTTATAATAATGGCAACAATAATTATCGTTATGTGATGATAATTTTTTTTTTGATATCGATGATACACGAACATGCTATTCTAATTAGGCATTGATCATTGCACAAATCCAAATTGGATGGGGGTACATAGATGCACCCATCACAATTGGTCTTATGTGGGGAGGGTAGTCCTATAATAAATAGATATTACGTAATAAATGTTCACTACCCTAAGTTTATATTTGCATATAATCACATTAAATTATACTTCCTATGATAATTAGATCACTAATTCTCTTGTACACTAAAAATAGAAAGTAAGGCATAATTCAGTAACATATATCCCAATTAGATGATCAATAATAAGACAACAACAAGGTGTGCATATTTAATACATGGCGGTATGAAATATTGGTCGCATGCAGATGAGCATTTAGGCATTTGAGGCAGTATGACGAAAATAAAAAAATCTAGGCATGCTGTAATGCCATAAATACCTAATTTAGGCACACATGTATAAGCATAAATATTTCACTAGCATTATAAATTACTGCAACACATTACCATGGTGATCAAGAATGATTTGAACTATATGATCATTTTAATACACAAGCAAAAATTGATAATTTTATGCATCAGATTAAAGCTATATCAGATAAAATCTAATTTAGAGTTTCATTAGGTTAGGTTGAATGCCTATGTTAGAGTGAAAGAATTAACAAGATTTTAATTTGGTTTTTTTTTTCTACCTACCAGATATTGTTCTAATACATCTAGAGTTAATAGTGATTTTCTTCAAGACTTATTAAGAAAACCTCAATATGTTCCATAACAATCCTTTTCGACTCCATTCATATTAAGATGATGATAACATTCCAAATTATTACCTTAAAGATCAAAAATGATTTTAATCATGAGATCATTTTAGCTTGTAAGCAGAAATTGATAATGCCATGTGTCAAGTTAAAGTTATGACAGATCAACCTTAATTTGGAGTTTCGTAGGGTAATATATTTAGGTAAGAATAACTATTAACGGGACTTTAGTTCTTTAATTGTTTTTGTATCTATCAGAAATTATTCTAATGCGTTTCGAGTTGAATTGAAAGTTTTTCATTATAAAGATTAAACATTTCTTCAATAATGTTATTAAGAAAACATATGTTCTATATTCATCCTTTTCTGCTTCCATAACAAAACCAACACTATTTGTTCCACTAGTGTTCCCATCTCTGCAGACTGTTGATAATACATGAAAGTCTTATATACGTCCTTCTTACCACGATTTCATTTTGTTAGAAATATTCTGGCACTACTTGCTCACTAGCTGCTGAATTCTGATAATGAATGACTTACATTCGTCCTATTCAATTAAGAAACTTGTTGCCAAGCGCAAATACTCCATTAACATTCTCAATCTTTGCTGAATTCTTGATGCTTATTCTTTTCAATCCATTTACAGATTTACCATAAAACTAAAATTACGATATAATTTTTGCATATTATTCAATAAAAATTTTTGTAAATTATTTGATTACCAATAATTTTTCTTAGGCTTAAATGTCTGGGATTTTTACCAGACCTTAAAAATATTGAAATCAAAAAACAATTGACTGCGTTTCAAGATGCTTTCTATTTCATATTTTGCAGAATAAAGCCAATTTTCGAACTCCATAATATAGATCATTGCTAAAAGATCTATTTACAAGGGCACATAAAAATAGGTGATTATAATTATATTAAAAGTTATTAAATATTATATAGTAGATTCATTCGTAATTAGATCATGCTGAAAATATCGAAATTTTGGCTACATCCATAAAAATGCGTAGCATTGAACAATCGTTCATTCCATTATCATAATCTAAGCATACGGGTTTTTAATAATATTTTAACGCTTTGTTTTCAATTATATCATCTTTACCCATTCCTACTCCATTGCTGAAACAATTTTCATGGTTATATGCTCCACCACCTTGATCTATCGCATTTTTATCTCTCATTCTTAAAATAGGTAAGTTCTCATTTTTCCATCTATGATCTTCTCTCCTTTTCATCAACATCACTGACATTGTTCTTTGTACTTTTACCATCATCATCACATTTGACATCACGTTCAAATACTTCATACACGCTCATTTTGATTCTGATTCCATCTTGATAACCACCTCCAGGGTCATATGTTCCTTCACTTTCTGATTTTGCTTCTTTTTCATTCATCACGTTCATATATCCATCCACATTTCTCATATTATTCTTTCGTTTCATTCTCACTTGATTTTCAACATTATTCTTTTCGTCTTTTATGGGTTTCATACCATTTCTACGTCGCTTAGGTCACTGGATTTGCACCATCGTTGTTTTCTACACCGCTTCTCTTTTCGTAATAACCTCCAAGATCGTTGATTCCATCGGCAATAATAATGAATGAATGCTTCATGTATATTCTCTTCAACAACTTCATTACGATTGGAATAATCAATATCATCATCATCCTGCTTGAATCAGGTACATTTTTCATTTTTACTTCTTTCATATGACTTGCATTCTCATAGGTTGTTAGATTAACAACGTCCAACTATTCATTTATTCCATCTTCATCAACATACATTATCCTAATGCCTTCTACAATATCCAGTTAATCTTCAATTTTATATTTGCTCCTTTCTGCATTAAATGTCCTATTGACACTATCCAATTCTACAGGTTTTTGATAATGAATGGATGCCTTTCCTTCATCCTTTTCGGCATCATCATCAAGATCATTCTCAACCTTTTTATTATTTATGCCGGGTAAGCCATCATTTTCATTTCTTGATTCGTTTAATTCTTTGCATTAACAATGTTTGTTTCTTTATTCTTTTCACCTTTCAATTCCACTTCCACCCTTAACGCTATTTCCTTCGCTTGGTCGTACATTTCCATTTTTTTAACTCCAATTCCATTTCTTACAACTTCCCTAACTCTATATAAAGTTACTGTCCTTACGGCCTTTACTTTGCGAGAGTTACTGCCTTTACCCAGGTCCTTCTCTGTCGTGTGGTTAATGAAAATATACCGTTATACACTCATTCTGATCAGTGGTTGATTTTAGCTTTGCACCCGCTTTGTTCACTGCTATATTTCTTTCTCCAACACTGTCATCTTCTTAATAAACGTCCTCTCATGACATTCTCAACACAAGGCACTGGGAAGTTATTATTGGGCACAGGTTTCTTAAGAAATCGAAGTAAGATCGAACCTTAATTTCACATTACCGTGTGTTATTATAAAATCATGTAATAAATTCTCAATATAAAAACTTGCAATATAAAATTCTTTCAGTGCACAGTATACGTCATACTGCTAAATTAGTGAGGAAAAAAGTAGAACCTTGAGCAGTCCTAGCATCGAATAATGAAGCTTTTTTAGTAATAACAAATCGCTATTGCCATGCACAATTGTGCTTCAGAACTTTAACTACAATGCAAGCTACATTTTTTGATAGGCTGTTTAAGGCCTTGCATTTTTTTTAAATACATAAAATATTTGAGTTATTTGAATTGAACTATATCATATATATCAAATATTTTATTCATCTCATGTAAATTTATTATATTTAAGTTGTGAGGTTCACCATACGTTTAAACAATTTTTTCTTGTATTTTTTATGACTTCGACGAAGTTTTCTGATAACTACTGATCAAATTTGATAATTTTTTTTTATTTTAATTCTATATACTCGTAGAATTAAAATAAAAAAATTTTTATCGAATTGGTCAAGCAACTATCGAGAATTCTTTGAAAATATCTCTCAAAGTTTAAAAAAGTTTGGTCCATCCATCATTAATTAAATGCTTTGAGTTTTTAAAACTTTGAAGTTTTCGCGACAAATACCTAACCAACTTCAATGAAAATTTTTTATTTTAATTCTATTAATGGGCCGAATTAAAATAAAAAAAATTTTCATGGGATTTTGTCAGGTAGTTATCGAGAAAATTTAGCTCAGAGTTTAAAAAAAATCTGACCCGTTGATTAGTAAATTTATTTTTGAACTTTTTAAAACTTTGAGCAAATTTTCTCGATAACTACCTGATTAAATTCGATAAAACCTCTTTTATTCTAATTCGATATATTCATAGAATTAAAATAAAAAATTTCATTGAAATTGGTCAGGTAATTATCGAGAAAACTTCGCTAAAAGTTTAGAAAAAAAATTTGTCCAGTATATCGCTAAATTAAACGCATATGAGATTTTTATGAGACCTTAAGCAAAGTTTTCTCGATAACTACCTGTCCGAATCGATGAATTTTTTTCTTTTAATTTAGAATTAAAATCTCGCTCAAAGTTTAAAAAAAAAAATCTATCTCGTCTAAGTAAAATTTTTTTTAAAACTTTGAACGAAAATTTCTCTATGACTAAATTTATCCAACTAAATTCGATGAAAAATTTTTATTTTAATTCTACTTGTTAATAAAATTAAAATAAAAAAAATTTCATCAAATTTGGTCAAATTGTTGTCGAGAAAACTTTGCTTAAAGTTTAAAAAGAATCTGTCCTGTATATCATTGTGCTTCTAAATTTTTTAACAATTCAAGCAAAGTTTTCTCGACTACCATCTGACCAAATTCGATCAATTTCTTTTATTTGTTTTTTATTTTAATAATTAAAATTAAAAAAAAATTTGATCTAATTTGGACTGATAGTGATCGAGAACACTTCGCTCGAAGTTTTAATAAATGCAAAGAATCGTTTATATGTATGTGATCCGTGATTAATTTGGGGTAACAAGATATACTCGGTGATGCTAGGTGGTATGTGACATCTGTAAAAATAAATAATGAGACTTGACAACTGGTTTGATTACAGATGGTTGTTAGAAGATTGGTGAAATTTTGCAGCTTTATGTTGATGCTATCTAAGAAAAAATAAATGTTTAGTCTTGTTGTTATTACTATATAAAAATAAAAAAGTACGTACAAGAACAAAAATCATTTTGCACATTGATGCGGATAATAGAATATTCAATTACAAATTAAAATACATAAAGATATAATTCAATTGAACAATCTAGTAACACAAATATCAGTTTTAAAATGAGATTTAATTTGAAATAATAATTAGGGTAGCTGCGCGACATAGTCATGCTCAAACAGGAACGTAATATAAGTAGTAAATATATACCGGCAATTCGAGTTTAGTAAAGAACTTTTTCAATAATTATAAGAACATGAATAATTGCCTTATACATTTCATTTCAAG